AGAATCAGGTCAGCATGGACACGGAGACATGCCTTGCATGCAAGTCAAATTGGTGTACAACATGGCCCCAAGAGGTCACGGCACGCGCGCCCAATTGCTTAATGGCTGAATACCCAACTCCTCGTCTGGTGCGAATGGAGAGGACCACCCTTGTCAGTCAGTCGGGGCTGAAGCAGACAAGAAAACTACATTTCCCACGAGAGGTTATATTCATTTATCTTTGTCAGAATTCCAGTCTCCTAGACAACTTGTCAACTGTATGGCAATAAACAAAATTTAAGACATGAGTGAAATTGAGGACAAAAATATGACATGTTCTCTGCCGCATAGTACAGTGCCTGTCAGCCTAGGCTAGTGAAAGTGTCAAAAGTTAAGGATTGTCACCTTATTGTGGGCAATGCATCATCTTGGCTGAGACGCGGTTGTGTAACCATAAAGTGAAATTCATTGTAACTAACATAGGCTCAACTGATGGACCACTTTTCCACAGTGCCATGCAAAATTCGGATTTAGATCCTCAGCTCTGAGCAAAGGTCATATCAGAAACAACAACCAGAGTGGTAGGAGTACAAACAAATGTGTCATAGTAACAGTCAGAAAGATACAGTAGGGTTTGTGCTAGTAGTCATATGAAAAAAGCGTTATGTTATCATCTGGCATTTTAGGTCCAGCACAACTGAGGTATCCTTTATTAAAAAGAGCACGTTGCCACAGAAATCAGTCCCAGTTCAAATTCAGGTTGGCAGAAATTCACTGAGGTCTGAGCCAAAAACTGAAGGCAAACAGATGGCTGGGCGACTTGCATCTATGATTGTAGACTGGAAGGGGACCTCAGATGATGATCTTATGGTTGGATGAGTCCATTACAGAATGAGCTACTTATTGAGAAGATCCAGTTTTATTGTCTAATGTTGTGTGACTTACATAAACCGAGTGGAATATGCTGTACACAAAATGTCCGCATATATAGTCCTGTGGAGATTTACATTCATTAGGGTGCAGTTATAAAACCGTGACAGTTTAATTTAAACAATCCTGACAAACATGTGATCCAATTGTTTATGGATGTTTTATCATCCATACTCAGTGGACTGTATTACCTGATGGAGCCAACCGCTCCCAGATCAAATGTTAAATCTAATGAGTCTGGTCACACCCCGATGTGGTCAGGCTCACATTGTGACTGTTGCTGTAGGCACAGTCTGAACAAACTGTTGGTTATGTCAGCAAAGCCACACCCACACTCAGTCACAACTTTCCTCCCACAACAGCTCCAATTCCACTGTCCTCTCTGTAAGGTATCCACGAGGGAGCTGCAGAAAACAATGGCAGTATAAAGCTGCTGTCTCTGCTGATCTCTCCTCTATAATCTAGTATCCCCGCTGTGGGCCTTAGAACAACAAGTCCAAAACATAAAAAAATAAAACTAGGGCTTCACTCCTCATATCTCATTTTTATATCTGAGGCCTCTTCAAATATTGGGAAAGAAAGAGTATCTTTGTGTGTGTCTGAACTGCACCAAAAGCTATGTGGGGACATTTTTGGGCGCTGGTGTAGTTGTATCTCTATACTGTATATAGACATTGATGTCCTGCAGGATCCATATATGTTAACAATCTATCAATCTATCTTGTTGGTCTATTCTGTACATACAACATCTTGCATGTCTGTCCATCCTAGAAGAGGGATCCTTCCTCTGTTGCTCTTCCGGAGTTTCCTTTAATGGGGAGATTTACTGTATTCAAATCAAGGGTTTAATGATAGAGTGTGTCATATGCTGTACAGATTGTGAAGCCCCTTGAGGCAATTTGTGATTTTTTATATTGGGCCGCATGAAAATGAAAATAAAATTGACTTGACTGTATATCATTATTGTGCACTTCAAAGAACAGAAAGGTTGTATTGGTATCATTATCATTAGCATGACTGTCATCAAGTCATCACACCTCTAGTCCAAGTATACCAATATAGCAATGACCTCAGATAAATTATTATAAGAAAATAATTTTGTCTTTATAATTAATAGATTAAAAATGGCATGCAAAAAAAAATGTCTTACTTTATTGTAAAACATATTCGGCCATTTCAGGCACTGCTTTCGTGCCTGTGAGTAGACAAATGCATTGTGGTTTACTTTAAAACCACCAATGAAAAGTACCAGGTAACTTCATTCTAAATCACATTCATTGCATTTGAATAGGTTTACGAGTCATACAAATTGGGATTTATCTATTATAATACCGTTTTTACAGTATGACTTCGCTGCTGACGAGGTGTGTCTCTGTCTGATCGACTGTGTCTTTGGTGTTTGTAGATGGAGCCTCCCGCGTGGACTTGCTTGGACTAACGTGGATGGCACTTGTCCTCACAGTGACAGTGGAACTGACGTGAAACCCCTCATCCAAGACACTCTCACACACACACATACCCACACACATACTTGCCCTTCTTACACAACATTCACACACACTTTCCACGAATCCTGCAAGCCTTCTCCAGTCATCAAGAGGCCCTCCATGCGTCAGTCGATCAGGAAACAGTGCCACCACAGGATGGCACACCACTGTTTTTGTAACAAAATAGTAATCAAGATAATGATATCAAAAGAACAACGTGATGAACATGAAAATAACCACCTCCTATATAGCCCTGCCCAGTTACACCTTTTTTGTTTCTTGTCCCACGTCTGCCTGTTGATCAATAAAATCAGTTGATTTGAAACGGAAAAGAAAAAAGCATTTGGATTTTATTTTGATGAGTCAAAATGTCATTGGTGTTGACTGAAATGTGAAAAGTGGAACTGGCTTAGGCTGTGCCACTATATCAACCACGCCCGTCTGTTACATGTCCTGGGATGCACCTGATTAGCAACAAGCTGATAAACCACGGGGGAACAAACACAGATGCTCCAAGAGAACATTCTTTTTTTATTAATATACAAGTATTCTTTTTTTCCTGATGGCTTGGAATGTAAGAGGATTTAAACGCATTAAGAAACTAGAAAAAAAATCTCCTTTTTGAGTGTATTTTGTGTACATCAGTGTAAATATTGAAAATAATTAAAGAGGTTATATGGGTTATGGTGAGGGGTGGTTGCTGAGATAGTTGGAGTTTACACTTCTCCACCTTTGTTTGTACTTCATTCAAAACTGTTTTCAGAGATAATTCTTGGCTGAAAGGACAAACACATTAACAGCCTTTCTGTTTCTCATTTAGGCTTTTTATATCTATATGGCAGGTCTCCAAGGACAGAGTAAAAAAATTATCTAACATATGTCTGCTGTTTTGGGGTTGTGGTGCATGTGACGTTTGAAGATTCTTTCTCCATTTGGTGTGTTGCAATTGACAGCACTGCAACTCATTGTCACTGGCCTGTAATCAAGTTATTTACTTGTGACATACTATCTTAAGTGACCTACATTGTGTACAATATGTAACTCTTACCCAGACATTTACAGTACTAGTAGGATCATTTTAGCCGCCATTCCAGGGAGGTGCTCACCTGAGGCAGCGTGTGTAAACAGGGTTGTTGCATTTGTTTCATTTCACCTGTATTAAAATGGAGAGATGATAAAACTTACAAGCCTTGACTTTACTTGTAACAAAATGTTCGACATGTTCAGTAGTGTACGTGCATATGCTTCCAGTCTTCTTTGATGCTGGGTCCAGGTAATATGCACCCTCCTGCATGTCTAGATTGTTGCAGGAATTGTTTACAATCTTTTATGATAACCTCACCACGTACGGGAAATCTGAAGGACTGTCTGCATTGGCCGAGAGAATGAGACTCATTTTTATGCCTGCTCAATTACATGGTAGCTCCAAAAATGACTTTGTTTCAGATATTTCTGATTGCACTGACTCCAGCATGACTTGAAGGGGATTCCGACATTGCTATTAACCATTTGCAGTTTGTACTCTTTCACTTGGTGAAGGGTAGCTTAATGCAGACTAATCCTGCATTTTTTGGACTTCACAAGAAATGCAATTTAAGCTATTCTAAGGACACAACATGTATTAAGGGATTAGGGTTTAAACCAGGTGGGAGGTAAGAGGAGACATTTTTAAAGCTTAGTCAAATAGAAAGGATAGACCTATCCGTTTGGGATTTTGGCTCACCTTGCCAAACTACAATCCATATTCCTGGATTTTGGAGATGAGAGCCGCATAGCACAAACATTATTAACAGACAGTCATATGCGCCTTGAATTAATTTTCTTTCGAGTGAGGGAAGCAAGGGGCACGAATCCTTGTCCACCCACTGTATAGCATTATAATTCAGCTATCATTTTAATTCAAGAGGCACTTTTGTGTTTTTTTTGGCTTTTTTCACTCACTTCACATTCAAGAGAGAAAAACAGCTCTATCACCATTTCTGAATGCATTAATAACTATTAATTGTCTTTATATAATCATGATATAAATAGAAGAAGTACATCATAACTCAACACGTGTGCATGTGTGTGTGTGTGTGTGTGTGTGTGTGTGTGTGTGTGTGTGTGTGTGTGTGTGCATATGTGTATATTGTCCACAACTTAATAGTATGTATGAACACATGTAACTTTTATAAAATTAATACAAAAATAGTTAAAAGTTTTCGTGGACCAAAAGAAATGAGTCAATAAATATGACCCATTTAAATTTTATTACATTTTCTGCTGCAAAAAAAGAAAGAATTTCCTTTTTTAGCCATGGATGTGAAGCATCTAATTGTTCCCTTCAGTGGTAATTGTCCTTAATTATAGGGACATCAGTGTGAAAACAAGAGCAAGCTTTTGTGTGCATCATTGTTTGCTCATTGTAAGTCAATGCTGTTTAGGTTTATTTGTGAGAAGGTTGGATGACCCTAACAGATAAAGTTTGAGCCACCTCAGCTTTGTAAGTTTTTTTCTTTTATTTCCTCAACAAATTGATGATTCAAGAAATGTGATGGTCACAAAATATTAAGCTTTATTGTTTTTTTATTTAACTGACTACATCCCTCTTCTGCCTGCAATGCTTCTCTAATCTGCAAAGTTATTACAGAAAAAGCAGCAAACACCTGTTAAAAATTAATTTTCTGCCTTCTGTTCTTGTTCAGTCGCATGTTGCACACCAATCATGGATGGTACAAGAAGAGGGGAAAGTGCCACCATACAACAATGCACATGGCTCACAATCATGTTTTTTTCTCAGCAGTGTTCTGAATAGTTTACCTGAGCTGGGAGCAATGGTGAGGATAAGAAGCTGACTCTTTGGCCCATATGTCAATTATTCAGTAGTCAACCATGCTTGCAGAATTGAGTTTCCTTTGTGTCGTCTGCAACAAGCTCAGCTATCGGATGACCAAACAGCGTACATGTCAGCTAGGAGACCTGACACACCCTCTATATGCCTCTCTGTGCGATGCAACATTAAAATGCTCAACAGAGTGCTATTAAAATAAACACAGTTCTGTTGTTGACCACAGCCTCACTCAAGTGTGTTATCAGCAACACAAATGACAGCCTGACAACGGCAACTGAGTGACATGGCTCCCATGTGACAAAGATGTATGTTTGCATCTCAGTATAGTGTATAGAAATGAATGACCGTCAGGTTTCTCTGTAGACACTTCATCTGGCATTCTTTAGACAGTTATCTGTATTATTTACAGTTCTATGTGTTTATAATACCAAGTGACTGCCTGCCATTTTGTTGTTTGACAGAAATGTTCAGCTTCTCTTAGAGTGAGTAATTTAAGCATCTGTGCTGGCACAGAAAAGGACCTTTGATCTGTGGCATGGCTGTGCAAACAGATGTATCCTGGTTATTAAGTATTTGATAAATGTCACCTATCATCACTCCCCACCCCTTATTCAAACCATGTTTTCCTCCTGCTGCTCTAGCCGTGTGTTAGAGCAAGTTAAGGAGTGTGATCTATCATAATATTTTTACGGACATTTTCAGAAATTGGCATAATAAGGCATGACCTGAACCACTCCTGCTCACGTAAACACTGAGGTAAAGATGCAACAACAACAAGATAGCTCAAACAAAGTTAGGATCAGAGTGTATTCAGAAAGTTATTTACTGGAGTTCTTAGATGACATTTGGATAGTTATGGGAAAAGCTTGGGTGAGTCAGCAAATTGCATAAGCAAATATTGATCTCTGTATTTACATATTCTGTGTATGGTTATTGAATCCACATCTGACTTGCCACAGGTGGTGCATGAGAAATGCCCCGCCTCTACAGAGCCAGGGATGCAAATAGTACCTCTGCAGGTGTCATTTTACACTTGATCCTTTGAACAAGAGGTGCAGTCATCAGATCACAGCAGCTCTCTTACAATGAAAACCAGACAGCGTGCTACCGTCAGCTGAGACGCACTGACAATAACACTCAATAGGATCAGTCAACCAATCGTTGCCACCATCACTGCTACAGCTATGCCCATAGCAGATCTTTTGGGAGTCCAGTTCGACATGCAGCTGCTGTTGAAACTGAGTCTCTCTGTGGCTGCGGTGCTGCTGGTTTCTTGGGCCTACAGGTTCTACAGCTCCAGGGATGCAAAGAAAATTCCAGTCTGTGACAAAGACAACAAAGAGCCAGAAAATGCAACCTGCCAAAACTGCAAGACAACACTACGATGTCAAAACCCACCAAAATATGACACAGATGATGGGGGCAAGCAACTCAGACCCTCGCACACAGACTCAGCCACTGATGACCTGACATCTGACAGCACCAAGGAAACGGCAGCAGAAGTTTGTCCACGCCAAGGTGCAAAGAGTGAGGATGCCTTCAATATGACATATAGTGACCAAGACATCAGCTTTAAAGGAGAGATACTCACTCATCAGAAGCAGGCGAAGGTTTCGACCAGTAATATTTCATTTGGCTCTGCTTTGAACCTTCCTCGTCCAACAGAGAGTGGGATGGTCAGTACAACAGGGCGCCGCTCCCCTTGCTTTTTGCAGAAGCTGGAGGGCAGTGTGGGTGTGGGCAGAGAGTTAAGGCAGGACTTGGAGCGCCAGGGGGCCTACTCCAGCTTCCTCTCCAAGGCAGAGATCAAAGTGAAGGATGCTAACGTGGTACTGGAAGGAACGGGGGACCAGATTGTGCGCGGAAAGATATATGATTATTATGTTGAGTCTTCCTCTCACTCGATTACAGACTCAAATACTGTGCTGGGTCAGTTTGAGAGGAACTGTGAGTCGCAGCCAGTGGAGTTTGGAAGTCATGGCAGCAGCCTCACAGAATCTCCTTCCTCCCTGAGCCCCATCATTATGCGTGATCTGGTTTTACCACAAAGCTCTGCTGAGGATCCCTCCACACTGGGAAACCTCAAGCTGAGGCATCCTGCAAGGCCTGTACTCCAACGCAAGGAGAGCTATCTGTCTGCAGCTGAGCAGTCTGAGCTTTCCATCCCCTTTCTAACATCAAGAGCCTCAACTCCAATGACTCACTCTCCAGCCTCAACCAGCGACGAGTCCGTCTCTGTTCACACTATGATCTTCAGCTCTACAGACAGCAAAGATCTTAATATGAGGGAGAGGGCAGATCTAGAGACTGTAGCAGGGGCTCCATTTTTACACCTTCCAGCAAAAATTCTTAACAGCAAAGATTTGGAAAGCTTGAAGAGTAAACTTGATCTGGGTAACTGTTTGGAGACACTGTATCTGGCCAAGAAACATGGCCAGCCCACTGTGCAGCAAGCAGCCCTGGGAGTCATGTCAGACAACTACCTCCAGGTGCTCAGGGACCCCAACCTTTATGGGCGGCTAATGGCTGGTGAGCGGGAACAAATCCAGAAGCAGAGAATGAGAGGGAGAAAGTTAGTCATGGTGGCAGATATGGACCCTCAAGACTGGGCGAGGAACACAGGAGGGCCGACAGCAGAAACAGAGCAGAGGAGGACATCCAGTGCAGTGTACTATTATGATGACTACAAAGACACCTGGCATACACTCTGCCTGATCCCACAGGAGGTCATCTCTAAAGCCTGTGCCATGTGCACAATGGATAACTACTTATTTGTAACAGTGGGCTGCCAAGGTACAGACAGAGAAATGACACCCTCAAAGCGAGTGTTTTGCTACAATCCTTTGACATCCATTTGGAAGGAGATCAGTCCTATGAATGAAGCCAGGCCCCGCTGCAAACTGGCAGCTCTCGAGGGCTACATCTACGCCATCGGAGGGGAGTGCCTCTCCTCAGTGGAGCGCTATGACCCGCGTTTGGACAGATGGACATTTGTGGCTCCACTGCCTAATGATACATTTGCTGTGGCACATCACGTCACAGTGTGCAATGGAGAGCTTTTTGTTTCTGGGGGAACACTTAGATATATGTTACTGCGCTACAGCCCCAAAACCAACACCTGGAGGCCAAGTCTGTTAGTAGGTAGCAAAGACAGAACTGCAGATATGGTAGCTGTGGGGAGATTTTTGTATCGGTTTGATGTTAACTCACTGCTGGGTGTCAGTGTATATCGCTACCATACAGTAGCTCGACTGTGGTATGAGTGCAGCTCCAAACGGCTTATGCGCTGCCCTGCCTTCCAGTGTGTCACGATGGATGACACAATCTATTGTGTCAGCCGCCAGTTCACCATGAGGTTTGAGGCTGATGAGATCTCTCCTGCTTTCATAGATGAGAATTTGAGTGTCCTCTCTGCAGCGAAGGGCATACTTTTCCCCTTTGTTCTTTCACTCCCTGATAAGAAGCCTCGGCAGACTAGTGTGTAACGAGGACTCAGTTTTCCATTGATGATAAGATTAGGTGGTGATGGAGTATCTCTACAAGAGCATGTGTTACATCAAGTTTCTTGTTGACTTACTGGGTTATTCTTCCAGGTTTATGTCCAACCCAGCCCAACCCCAAATGTTATTGCAAAATTGTAACCACTGTGTTGTCATTTATTTGACATGTTACCAAGATCACCTTTCCACACAGCTTCTGTTTCTGGAACTAATTTGTTTTGTTGGAATCGATATTGCACAAAGAAATGTGTGTTTCTTATGTCTCGGTCCTTTGCAGTAGATGTAACATATTAGACTCTTAATGGTAGTCAAACTACTGTTTCCTTAGATTTATGCAGGATGTGCTGCCATGTAAAGTGTTTGCTTCTTTGATTTGCCACTCCTTCCTGCCATTAAGTTAGTTTTATATCATCCCAGATGCTTAACCTCTTTAGCTGAAAAGATAATTCATAAGAGTAAATGAGTTCATTCAACTCTAACATATTACAGAGAATGGGAAACATAGTGATAATGTATCACTGCTCCACTGTGTAGGCCACAAATATAACTTACACAGTGGCCTGGATACAATGCAATTATCTACAGTTGCTCTTTAAATATGACAGGGTGTAAATGGTTTTGTCATGCAATATAAATAGGTAAACTCCTAAAAGCATTTGTCGCTACTTTTGAAACTCCTCCAACACTCAGACTTTTAGACGCAGTTATATTTCTAATTTTATTCTCTCATGGATAGCCATTTGTTTAAATTTTGACTTGCTGTATTTTTTGTTAATTGTACCAAATAATCTCTTTGTTTTGTCATCTATTGTTTCATAAACATCAAAGAAATATATGAATTTGTCATTCATTGCATGTTAATCCACAATTAATGGTATTAGGCCAAATGTCTATTCCAGTATTTGTGTGACAATGATATAACCATATAACCAATGACAGAATAGCAAAGGAACAATCTATGTGGTTTATTTTTTAAGTGTTGAGCAATTCAATTAACAATGGAAATATGCATAAGAATTATACAAATATGAAATCCCTCATTGTTTGCTCATTTACAATCAAATCTTTCAATGTACAGAGGACTTTAAAAAACACACTGACAGGTTTTTGGACAGTGACATGCTGCTATAGCACCATCATGTGGCTCACAAGGGAAACACAACAGCGCTTTGGGTGAGCCATGCTGAGCTCTAGACTTCCCACAACACAGAGGCGTCATGTGACACACAGGCATCAGCAGCACAGTAGAGGGACTAACTAGCTAACAGTGGGTGAAACAGAGGGCTTCAGTTGCATTGAAAGGCAGCAGGCAGGCGGGGAAAAGGGAGGCAGCCGCAGATGGTTGACCATCAAACATAAGCATCTTTGATTCTTCCTAATTAAACACTTTGACTCCCTGTAACTAAACACCTAATGGAATGGGACTTAGACGCGTCCCTTCAGATGTTGCCTTGGATGACTCATGGCTTCTGGTACGCCGCCTCAGTACCCAGGTTAGCTCTGGCATCAACAATTCTTTTTCTCTTTCTTTTTTTTATCTAGGGTAATACTAACAGCCCATTCTGAGTTCCAGATATTAACTGTACAGAGAGAGGAAGAATTTGCATGTAATTACCCTGTGGAAGGGAGAACATAATTTATAGCCCACTCCTTTCTCCTTCTCGCACAAACACATATTCACATATACACACATAAACAATGAAACCACTCACCATACAACACACAGTAAACCTACAGTAGTCCTCATAATGAGAATCATGTTTAATTTTTTTAATTCCTTTTGATTTCCCAAATGGTCTGCTCTGTAATTTTTTTTTTCATGCAGCTGACTTATAAAAAAGAGGAACCACAAAGCAGCACCACTTTGATCAGGGCTTCTAAATTAACAAGGAGCATGTGAGGCAATTCAAGAGCCACAGTGTTGTCTGTGAGCCTGCTGTGATTGTGGTCGTAGACTGAAACGGGGATCTGGGATTTGTAGTAGCGAGCACCGTCTCAGATCCAGGTCTTTGTTGCTGTGATTGGCTGCATGGAGGTGGCTGGAGAGCATGCGTGAAGCCCTGGCAAAGCGGCTCTGGCAGAAGGTACTAAGTGGGTGCCTCTGGTATTCTGACCTGTACACAGTCAGTGACGGGAGGTGTGGCTGCGGCTTTTCCAAACGGTGCTTTGTGGACTGCAATGGGCCAAAGTTGGTTGGAATGGCTGTAAAGGAACACAGAAGAGAAAGTTAACTGCCATGTTACTGCAGCCATTAATTACACTGGTGACTGATTTGGAACAATAAATGGCATTTGGGGCCACCCAGATTTAATTGTTCATGAGCACAACTGCTGATGTGTTTTGTCCATGCAAAATGTAATGCACTAAGCTATGTTTGCTCTACCCTCATAGCACTCTTGAGTGGATGGTTTAATATATCCTTTCCCATGTATAATATATGCCTTTAGGCAGTGGTGGCATGGAATTTTAAACTGTGATCTTACCAGAAATTGGCCGGTCAGACCTCTCAGGCTGCCATGTCAAGCTGTGTGGATGCCAGCGTCGCAGAGTGGGCAAAGTATTGGTGTGCTTATGCCCATAGCTCTCTTGATACTGCGTGACCAAGTAATGAGAGGATGGTGGGTCACGGTGGGCAAATAGCAGCTTGGATGGAAGCCCCTGGAAGACAATACACAGTAGTCTCGACATAGCCTGTATGCATTGGCCTTCGCTGGATTAAGATATAGAGGGCATGGCCTATTCTATTAGAATAATCTTCAAAAGACTTGCTATGTGACAGCAGCAAATTGCTCTAACTAGCCTTTAAGTGCCCAGTAGGACTGATGATTTTACACATTTTTCATGACTGCTGAGTCTGACCAGAAACTTGCTTTCATAAAGAGTTTTATCACAAGCCTTTATCTTGGCTGTCAGTATTATGCAGAAGTGGCCACAATCTGGAGAAGAAAGCCCTGACTTGCAGGGCTGTGACAGGCATTCAATTGGTGTTAATGCCATGAATGACCAGTTAAAGGCTGACCTCAGCTCTCAGCAGGGCAGATCTTCTCTCAAAGACGTCTGGCTTGGAGTCACGTTGGGGCCGGTAGTCTACACGATTGGTGCTTTTGGCTGTCTCTGGCTCCCGAATGAACTATGTTGGACAGAATAAACAGACATCGCAAAGAGGAGTGAGGAGGGGGGATATACAGGGACTTGAGCAATGAGCCCAGCTCAAGGATCAGCAAAGCTCACACTTCACTATCGATCTGCACTGTTGTACAGTATTTCTTAAGTCATTTCTCCTCTCAGATCCTGAACCAGCAGCCTGTGGCCAAACCTCACGTCAATGCAATTAGTCTCCAGCTTTAGCCTCTCCCACTAGGAGGCTGTGCTGATATAGCTGAACTGAGGCTGCCTAATCACTTTGCTATAGATTTGACTACCAACTGAGGTGCTACAAAACTCTTGGCAGGCTGCCATTGGTATGGCATTATGTTTAGGATCTGCAACATGAAAAGGCATACATAGTCTGTGTTCTCACATTCAATTCAAGTTGTATGCTTAAATCAGAACATCTTATTGTGATACTGGAATAAAAGTGAAATAGACAATAAGCAGACAAAATGCCTACCTGTAGTCTTTCTTCCGCCCAGTTGCCTAATAGCACCTTGTTTGCATACTTTTGCTCTATTCTCCAGCCAGTTTGAGTCCATTTATCCTGCGCCATCCCTGCTTGGTTCGTGTTTTGCCTGGTACCAAACGTACCTAACCTGGGAAATCTCAATCCCTGTTAGAACATGGTTAGCTAGTCAAACAAATAGCATGTAGGTGGTTTCAGCTGGCTCCATAATGGCACAGGCAGTAGAGAGGAAATAGAAGAGCTCCGTTGCTATGGATACAGCAAACACTGAAAGGGAAGGCAAGCAGAGTATCCTGGAAGCAAATGGGAGATGTCTTACATCTGTGTTAAAAGGAAATACATTCCTTAAGGCTAGGGCATGACATTTACCTTTTGGCAGTATTCTCTATATTGTTAAAACGGTGCCAGAAACTGTTTATACACTTTGTGTCCTCAGGCTACTGTTCATTTTTGGAATAAAACAGGTTTTGTGTATAGATTTGTGTGGGTTTTTTGTCTTCTGTGAACACTATACTTTTAATGAAGAAGAAAACTCTGCCACTGGAGACCAGTTTTTTTTTTTTTTATTAAAATGTAAAACAAGATGGAAAGTAGAATAAAGTACATGACATGGTCCTATTTATGATCTTTACAGTGTTTTAATATAGTCAACAACACTATCCACAACCTGCACTGCAGAAGGAAATGTGAGCCAACCCTGGTTAAAAAAGTTAACCATGCCATGAAAACCTTTCGTTACATGTTGCCAGGTGACATCCTTTTCCAAGTCCAGCAGTCGTTTCCTGTAAAGAATCCCATCATCCCTCAGGACATCATACTCACAGGTGAGGATGAAGGTGGGCGGGGTTTTCTTAATGATGGCATCATCTGCCAGTAGGGGTGAGACCTCAGGTTCCAAACCAGCCTTGATTGTGTGATACACCTCTGCATCATATTCTGGGGTTGGGTGCTCAAAGGTACCCCGTACGAGGCACTCAGGAGGTAAGTTGGAAGGGGAGAGCCACTCCTCATAGCATGGCTTGAGCTCAGTGGGGACATGGTTGCCTTCCAACACATCTTGGCACACAGACATGTCCCCACTGAGATACTGTAGGAAGTAGAATGCCATCCGGCCACGAAACAATATGGGCACAGCATGATTTTGCTGGTATGAGGGCAGGTTGAAATCTGCCATCTGCAGGGCTGGGTAGATGAGGACCTGAGCGCAGGGGGACGGCAGATGTCCGTCCTCTCTCCTCGCCAGCCTTTGGCATAGTGCTGCTGCCAGGTTAGCCCCAGTGCTGTCTCCTCCGACTGCCACTCTGCAAGAGTCCACGCTGAACTCTGCCTCAGCCACAGACAGGAAGTGACACGTCGCTGTCTCACAATCGTCCAGCTGGGCAGGGTACCTGTGCTCAGGGGCTAATCGGTACCTAAGAGGGGTGAGAGGGAAGATGGAAGGACAATATGGTGAATTCTGGCTCTTTGGTAAACAAAATACGTTTTTGGATATTTACGTGCATTGGGGGAGAAGTTTAAGTACCCAACAGAAACCACAGTGGTATCCGACTCCTTGGCAATGTGCCGACAGACTTCATCAACAGAATCTGTTCAGGATTAGAGGACATCACAGTTAGCAAGCAATATGTTATGGTCTTTTATTTAAAAAAATACTACAGACAGAACATGCCAATTTCTGTTTCTCTATCTACGCTCATCTTTTTTGTGTATTCAGGCAGCACATCATATAAAAATGTATTATATTCAATAAACATTAATTAAGATCAAGAGAAATAGTGCTATATGTAAGTACATTTTTTGCACTGAAGTATTTATATATATGTCAACTTTATTCTACTCCACCGGGTCTCAGAGGAAAATATTGTATTTTTTCCTTGTTGCTTGGTAAGTTATTAGTTACTGGCGTCTTTGCAGATACTTAACATTAAAAAATATGAGAATCTTAAAAAATTGATTTGTTAATTTGTTGATGAATTGTTAAAGATCAAACTGCCCAACAGTAATCTGACTTAAATCGGGACACAATAAAAGATTAAAATACAATAATAATAATAATAATAATGATAATGCTAATATTAATACAAAAAAACACCAAAATTCAAACACAGGAGAGGATTTTGCCGTTACCCACAAAAGTGATTTATAGAGGATCTAAAGGAGAGGAGAAAGTTGAGTTTCACTTAAGTCAAACTCAACTTTTTATCTCTTCACAAATAGTTACCTATAATAGTTCTGAATGCACATTGGTAATTCTTTTTGGCATTTCTATTATTACTTAAGTAAATGATCTGAACTTTGTATACCTATACTGCCCAACACCCATCCTCCTCCATGGAAATACACAAGTCCTCTTCTCAAGCCATCACACACAGTGGTGGGTTCGTAGACTCGCACTGGCACTTCAGAAAACGTCAGGTCCTTCACTCGCAGGCCTGCAGGAACTGGATTTAATCGTGTCAGAAAACGGGCCACAAACCATCGGATAAAGCTGACCTGATGACAAATACCCAGACGATGTAGAATCCGGCCCTTGTAGGAGAGGAACCACAGATTTACCACAAGTTGGAGACAATATTAAAAACAAACAAAAAAGGTTATTGATGGGTAAAGTCAAACTGAAAGTTATTCTGTCTGAGAAACCATATTTACTATGACAACATCAAAGAGGGGAGAACACATGACCTTGCCTTTTATGCACCTTTGTTAGACTTGATTTCTTATCTTAAATTTCTCTGATCTAAGCTTTATCAGTTGCTAGAGGACAAAGAAAGGACAGCCATCTTTGACAAGGGCCTAAAAGAGTAGAGTTGATTTTTTTTTTCTTGCACAAGCAGAGGCAGTTTTCGTTACACTGAGGAATAAGTTAATTTCATAATAAAAAAGTAAATCATAACAGATAGAATAACATGAAGGAAACATATAATACTAAGCCTAAACAATTCCATTGATGTTGTAGATACTCACCACAATTGCTATGCCAACAAACAAGCCATGAACCATGTGCAGTTTCCCACTATTTGCAACCCCATGAGGAATGTCTGAATTCATCAGCTCAGAGTACACAAGTCCAATTACCAGAAGGAGGAAGGCTGCAACAAGAGCAGCAAAGCCAATTATTAAAATTGCCGAGCCGATGTCCATGGTGTTGTTGGTCTGCTCTGCTAAAGGTAAGTCATTAGGAGTTAATGTTTTATCTACCTGCTTTCAGCCTCTCTCCACCCCTCCCACATCAGACTGCAATGCATTCTCACCTTGGTTTCACCCAATGACACGTTTGGCTGCCTGTTGCCTAGGAAAAAATAATTATATTCTTCAACATATTTTATGGCTGTGTAGACAAAGTAATTACATGTTTCCCAAAGAAACATAGTTGTTTCACTATGGAATATTGCATTTATGTTACTGGAGTATTTGTTTAATTACTCATACACTTCCATAGTACCCATTCCAGTCCCTAGCAGTATTTTCACATACATCTGAAGGTTACTATGTTTTTTTTCCTGTTTTTCTTTCATGCCACTGTTATTGAGGAAAGCGCTGCTGCTTACAGCTGAACTCGGCATAGACTGGCATTTTCACTGTCTGGTGTCTAAGGGAAGAAAATGCTCAGAGACGCTCCCCAGTGAAGCCTGGCTGAGAACACCCTTATCTGAACTTTCACTGCCGATCTGTAGATGGCAGTGATAGCATGAGTATAAATAAACAGAGCACTGAAATATACACTATTTACATTTTTTGCATTCTGCATGCAGCCTGAACCCATTTGCCACTCGCTCTAATGTATATCTTTACACTATTTTCTTGTTTTTGATAAACCACTAGCTTCTATTCAATTTGACTTCAGCTGAGAACTTGGGTATAGGCATCCAATGAAACTTCACTTTGGGTTCACATTTAGTAAATCTCAGATATTTCCAAAATAAAGACAGCATCTGGAGTCGTGTTGTCTTGGGTTTTTAGCAGCCCCCGAGAGCCTCTCTGCCTTCCCTAAGTAGCTGAGCCCAGCACAAAGCAACCATTGTGAGGCTGCTCTTTAAACCCATCCCAGTTGCTGAAAAAGCCCTGCATTCAGCGATACCCAGTAAAAATCACAGTGCCAGGGCCAAAAATCACAGACTGGAATCTTGTCTGAGGCCCATGAATTCATAGGATTTGTTTAGAAGGTATTCATGCAGTTTTCTGTTTGTCACCCTGCCAAGCTTCTGGGACTGGGCTGACCTATTTCCCAAATTGCACTGTCACACACAGAAAGATATAGTCTGCTTCATATTGTTACCACAACAAATAGGGCTCAAACAACTGATGTGGTTTTGCACATAGGAGACCATTGCAAATGCAGGACATACTGTGTACCATCAAATGAAAAAAAAAACATCTTCACTCAGTAGAATATAAACCCTACCATGTTTATAAAACTGAAAACAATTTTTGCTGTCATTTATTATGTGAGCTTTTGATACAGCAAATAGACTTGACATTTGAATGTATCATGTGACTAGACATTTCCAGGTTTGTCAGCATCAGAATATCCAGGCTGGAAAAAGCAGAGACTAGTTATTGGCTCAAGGACACATTAGCATCACCAGATGTACTTGTCATTATGAAATATGAACCCAGATTGCCCAATGTAATGGTAATTATTTCAGTTATTTTCCAGTTCTTGTATGTTTTGAAATTGATTTTTTGTGGTCTGTCTATATTATACTTAGATCACTTATTAGCAGCGGTGGAAGTACATTTACTTATGTACTGTACTTAAGTACAAAGTTGAGGTACTTTACTTAAGTATTTTCTTTTAATGCAACTTTGTATAGTAGCCAATATTGTACTTTTTACTCGTCTATACCTTTCTGACAACTTTAGTGGGTAGTTACTTTTCAGATTACATTTTTCCATACCCTTCCTGTCCTATGAAAACCATGTATCTCTAAGTTTGGTAACGCATTGTCACAGTGCTGGAAACAAAGCTATTTTTTCTGAGTTCATGAGAACTACAGGTTCTCACAGGACAGTGATGCTACAAACTTACAGTATGATGATGTTATAGGATATAATGCATTACAGTAGATTGAAATATCCAACAGTACAAATTAGCACAACCTTAAACATTTCAAGCAATAAAAGGTAAAATACACATTCATGCAACAGCAAAGACATTATAGAGTAAAACACAGAATGGGACCATTTTTCTGCAAAATAAGTAGTTTTACTTTTATACTTTAAGGAGATTTTTGCTGATAATGTATGTGGAACTTTTCTTAGTACTTTGCATGAGTAAATGCTCTGAAGACTTCTGCCACCATTGCTTATTTGGGGGGGTTAGTGTTATGGTTGCGATTGTCAGGTTTCTCAGTTCCCTGTTTGTTTAGTGCTAGCTGTTTTTGTGTGTTGCTTATTTGTTTGACTTAATTAATGGTGGGGGTAGCTGGGCTCTCAGTCATTTTTCTGAAGCCCTTGACCAAACACCCCCATCTGACACTCTTATATAGGTAATAGTTTGGTTGTTGATTTTGCTTTGACTAATCTGTCAGTGAAACATGTGATTGCGACAGCATTGTTATTCTGTAAATTATGCAACGAGGTTAAGTTCGAGTCAATTAAATTACAATACAGTTAAACTTTCCCAAACAAGATTGGGCACCCACCTGGGACGCAGTGGGGCGACCACTGGGGGGCCCCGGTCCACAGATTGAGAACCACCGCTGTAGACACATGAAGGGGGTGGGGGAAGAGGCAAGTACGCAACCACTCAGGACAGACGGGCACTGGAGCAAAATATTCATCCTCACTTAACATGTCAATCAGGATTAATGCCCTTACAAACCTCGCCTTTAGGTTCATCCAGCTCCTTTCACTAGTGGAAGTACCGAAGCCAGGGCAGAGGCGGTAATATATAAGGCAGGACAGGACAGGACAGGAACACAACACCAAAGCCCAGCGGTTTCAGTAGCGCACGGAGCGTCGCCTGGACTTGTGTTCCACGTCTCTGCGTCTCTAGCAGTGGCTGACAGGCGTAATGACCAATCACTCACACATTTGAGTGCGTGATGCATGTCGACTAACATGTCAGAGCTCCTTGAAGTCACATAGTTCTGCTTTTTATATATAAATATATTTTCTCCGCCAGTGGATTACTTATGCAGCAGTGTCTGAGGCTGCAGATGATATTGTTTGCATGCGGATAAAGTTGCAAGGAGCTCACGAGTCGTTGTTTCGGCACCGTTGAAGGATATCAGTGGTTGCACGTAAACTTGCAGCGTAAACATTTATACTTGAGCCCGTGAGCACCGCGAGAGATGGAGCTGAAAAGCGCGTGTCGTATGTTTCTTTTCCCGGTTCAGATGCTCTATTTTATAGTCAGAGCAAGTTTGTTCTCGCTGTTGCCAAGCAGAAGGAAGGATCTGACCAAGGAGGTGGTATTGATCACCGGTGGGGGACGAGGCATCGGGCGTCACCTGGCCAAAGAGTTTGCCAAGCAGGGGGCCAGAAAGGTAATTTCATTTTAACTACTGGCAACTTGTTGCACCCACATTGCTCCTTCCTAATAAATACACCAGCTAACTACTGGAGTGATTTTGTAAGCAAGGTTTAGTTTGTTTTAAAACCAGCAGTAGTAATTGGGCAGCATGAATGCCCCCCCACCCCACACTTCTCCCCTCCTGCCGGTACCCCGGTCCGGTCCACCCTGACCCAAGTGTCTTGTTGTTCCACTGTTCTAAGAAAGCAGGGATCATAACCTCTAAGTAGCCTAGCTGGTCCAAAGAGACTGGAGACACTGCCCTCAATTTTGGTTCAAGTATTGCACAACAGCTTGGGTCAACCAGAGGGCAGGTCTAGACAGCCTTTATGGCTGATTGATGTGATTAAGTGCAGTACTGGGCTGACATTCATTCTGCTAAGGTCTGGGGTGATCCTGCTATGACTGACATGTCCAGAAAGTGTATAATCCAAAGATTTAGGCTGTGATAAAGGCATTGACTCTCTGTATGTGTGTGGAGTGTGTTGGTGTGTATTTTGGGGTTGGGGGGGTATATGTGCACACAGCCTCACTGAAACAGCTTCAAAGCCATTTACATAATAACTGTGCTTCTATTACCCTATTATAGTGTCTTGCCATTTTTTTGAGCGGTCTTTGCACTGTTGTAAAATCTGCCAACATATAACAGAACAACAAAAGGCTACATAATGCTTTTAATAAAAGCCAGATTAGGTTTTGTTTTCAAGCATATGAGGACATGAGAGCCTTTTATGGAGTGTATGAAAAACTAAATGAACCCAACAAAAAGAGATGGGGGTAAAATATATTACATGATCTTGGTTAAGTCCACCACTGGAAGGGTGACTATTCTAACCTGTTACAGTAACTGAAATGCAGTGTAGTAAGGGTGACAGATTTTTATGAGGTAATAGGTCAAAATAAGTCAAGAATAGAGTCACTTTTACTATGAGACTGAAGTTATGATTGATTAGTATTTTTCCAATCTGGATGTGATTTTAAAGTTATGGGGATCCAAAAAATCACAGATTTTTTGCTGAGTCAGACTAAGGCTTTCGATGTCATGTTTGCAAACCCTGAAATTGCAAATCAATATTCTCATCTTGAAATCAGTAAAAGTAACTCATCCAGTCTTGCCAATTTCAGACAAGCACCGCAACCATCAAAACCATGCACCCTCTCATCTCTCCCCACCCTCACCATCCCTCACCCCCCTAACAAGCAGCCGTCACTTGGGCCTGAAATGCTCCAGTGGCTACATAGACAGTTCCTCATCATGCAGGTCAGGCTCTGTTCCCATCATCCATTCCAGCTATAGTTTGTCTTCCAATCCAGTGGGTGAACATTACACAGCTGAGTGCCTGATGAGCCACTGGTGTCCCTTTAGCAGTAATGTGTTAATACAGAGGAGCTCTATTTTTGATCACCTCTGATGGGAGTCATCATTACACATGAAAGAAAATGGTGGTAGTTTCCCTGGTAGAAAGCGGTGAGCAGGCCAGCTGAAAGCTATGGGTTGTAATTTTCTGTACACGTGTGGCACGGGCTAATCTTGGATGCTATCTTAAGCCACAGTTTTAGTAGCTTGAAAACATTGCTAAAAGCTCAATGAAACACTAACTGCCTCTTTCCGTCTTTCAATGTCATCTCCTTGGGGAAAGAGCAAGAAGAAACCAGTGGGCTTTAAAAGCTTTACTTTGCAGCTGCACAACAAAGGATGTCACCATGCTTTTCAGCACCCCGTTGTTGGGTATTATCAAGGTGTGAAGGCTTTGAAAACAACACCTGTGGTAATGTGTATGACAATTGCTCCCTGCCTAAAGAGACGCTAAAAGGAAATAGGACGGTAATTATGAATAGGGCTAACCTTTTACGAACTCACGCTCACCCCAGTTTGAGCCCCTTTGTGATTGGCATCCGGAATTTCCTCTTCCCTCTCCCCAGCTTTGGTGTTTTCACGGTGTGAGGAAGACTAACTACAGCGTTGATGAAAGAATCCAGCGAGATGGAGAGCCGGGGACTCAGGAGGGGAGCCAGGTCTTCTTGTGTGTTGTTAGGGGGGAACCGTTGCAGAACGAAGCTCTGAAACAATAAACCAGACCAAACTATTTTCAAAAACGGCATCCAAGTTCAGAGCACTGTGAGAGGTCTTTCAGAACATTCCCAGTAAATAGTTGACAACTTAAAACAGCATATTTCTTCAAAGCTCCTTTCAAAGTATTTTTCAGTACCATGACAACAAATCTAGAAGAAAGTGTTTGCAGAAAGCGTCGATTTTTATGTGGTTGTTAACATCACATAAAGAGATTGCTGCAAGGCACTGACAACAGGTTTGTGTGGGTGTGCGTGTGTGTTGTGCTGGAGGCGGGAAGCACACCGCTCCCAGCTGGGTATTGCCCTGCAACTGACCTTGCTGTCTCCGCAGTAATTAGACAGCGGCAGGCGACTGCCTCCTGAACTCCTGCTGCCCCCTCTGTGTGCCGCCTCTCTGCTGGCCCATACAATGGGTGTGAAAAGGAGGGTTCATACCCACCCATACATTCAGTTCGGAGAGATAGAGTGTCACTGTAATTCAGCTCGAGCTGCTGGGGACACGGAGACGTACACCACAGCCTGTACTGAGTTGCATCTTCGCTCTCTGTCAAGGTCTTGTGTCAAGCTTTGCAACGTTAATTTCTTAATCAGAGAGCTTTTACTTACAGCACGTGTTGACATTAAGTCTTGTTCGGTGTGTATAGCTGGAACAATCACTGTTTTATCACAGATAGGGAATAAGGTTTTTGCAAGGTCAATTAAAACCTGTTTTCTTACTGTTTCAATCCAGATAGCAATTTGGCCAATGCTTGTTTGTTCTGAGGGTCCTGTGTGTTGTGACGGGTGATAAACCTAATGAATTAAATAACATTTTAACAGGAGAGCACAGTTTGAGTGCTGACTTTTAATGAGAGCTGTCAGCTTTGTTTGTAAGGCTCAAATCCCATTAAAAGCTTTCAGTTATTTATCAAGACTTGTCTGCCTTCACTGATTACTTAAATGGGCTTGCAAATGAAGCAAACAAAAAACCCAATCAAAAGCAACTCAAACAAGGGCTGTTCACAGAGGGAGCCAAACCCTTATTGCTTTCGATGAAAGAAGAAAAAAAGAACACATTCCAAACATCTTTGAGCTTTACATTGTCAGTGTTTGTGTGTTTGATTCGCCTCTGACACTATTGCTATCAGTAATTTGGTGATTTTTAAGGTTGTGTCTGTGCAAATTAACACACTGTCATTGCCAGTATGTTATGTTTGGCTCCAGATAAATGCTGAGTAAATTTTAAAAGATTGGCAGCGACTGAAAGTGTCCTGTTACTGCAGGATGACAGGTTCAATACGTGCAAAAGACGATGTGTGATCATCTATAGTAATGGAAGCCTCGCAAGTGGCATGAGACACACACTCTTTTGTGTGTGTATGTGTACACACACGCAGTGTTTCTGTCTCTCACATACACAAGATCACTTTCCAGTAGACTTTTTGCTCAAATATTAACCTTGGTCACGGGCG